GCTGTTCCCCAGTATGATCTAGAGCCCTCAGTGTGCTGTTCCCCAGTATGATCTCGAGCCCTCAGTGCACTGCTCTGCTGCCCCTGTGCCGTACTTGCTCTTGCGAAGGGCCGTCTCCACGCTGTGCCCGCGGTGCCGCTTGTAGAAGTCGATGAAGGAGAAGGGCAGGGAGATGTTGAGGGCGCTGGGACGACCGGGCGCCGCTGTCCTCTTGCGAGCCTCGAAGGCGATAGTGAGGTCCACCCAGGCAGCCGGCCGCTTCGCCTTGAAGCTCTCAATGAAATCAGCCCCGAAGATCTGACACAGCATGGCCTCAAACGCCAGGTCCACCCCCACAGCGCCGTACGGGCCTCCTGCATCACACAGGCGGGACAGCAGGCAGGGAGACACACCGTCACAGGTGTGTGCAAGCCAGCAGGAGTACGGAGGAGACAGGCCACATCACGCAGACCCACAGCTGTGCCACTTTCCTCTGATCTTTGACAACAGAGCAATAACAGTGCACACAGTGTGGAGTAAAAGATTCTCTTTCGCACTGCAGGTTCTGTGATTGTAAGGGTAGAGTGTTAAGGATGTTTACTGCCATCTTGTCCCGGGCCTTTTGGGTTACCAGCTGACGTGGTGGCTGAATAAGGGCCCATGCCTACCTGTGCAGCCAGCCTGCACGTCCTGCTGTCTTTACATTGCAGCAGAGGTAGCAACAGCTAGTTGAGTGGAGGATAACAGAAGATATCATTGTTGTTGGCAGAAAACAGCAGGTATGAGCAAAGCCATAGATGCAGGAAGTGCTGGAAAGGTTTAGTGGTAATATAGTTACATACAGGTAACATAGTGATAGTATAGAAAACAATCAGAGTTAAAGTGTAATTCTTGCATTTTTATTGCATTCTTGCAGGGTATTCTTGCAGTATTCTTGCAGAATAAGTGCAGTGAACTTCTGTTTAACAGCGGAGACTGTGGGCAGAGCTGGCTGCGCGATCTCACCTGACGCCTTGTAGAGCTCCTTCAGCGTGCCCTGCGGCTGCTCGATCTGATGCACGGTCAGGTCCACGGTGCCTCCCCCGCAGTCCGCCACGATGTAGCGGTCACCTTGCACAGACACGCACAGCACACCCGCTCAGTTCCCCCGCACCTGTGCGACTCTGGGCAGGACCTGTCAGCGCTGCGTGACACCCTGCCACTGGTCCGCTTTGCCCGTCTGACTTCACAAGCCAGGAGAAACAATTCCTTTTAAAAGGCAACAGCCTCACACTATTGTCCAACTCAGTAGTTTGTTTAATTTTTCAAGGACCTAAAAGAACATGTTATGAAAATGCTACACTTCTTCAGAAAACAGACTGGTACTTGAATAGGTTATACAGGAAGAGTGGCAGGAAGATAAGAGCATTCTGGGTCAAAGGGTTGGCATGTTGACCAATGGAGTGAGTGGATTCCTGCCTATCAGCAGTGCACCGGAGTTGGCATCAGTGCTCATGATACAGCCAGTAGACTGACAGCCCTCACCCACCAGCCGTTGGCTATGAAGTATGGAGCCCCTGACACTGCAGAGCAGCCGCTCATGGCTGACAGGGGTGAGTGGACTGCACGTCAGAGCAAGAGAGGAAATCCTTCTTTGCACGTTCTGTCAGGCTGACAGGACAGTGTGGCCGGGAGCCTGAGGCTGGCGGGACCCCCTGGTCCCTGCTTCCCAACACAGCCGGACAGCCCAGCGCCACATGGGGGTAGCGCTGCTGAGAGCACCTATCCACCAGCAAACCCTGAGGCCCCCAGACCCGCCCCTTCTGTGAGCCTGAAACAAGGGGGAAACACATCTGCAGCACGAGCTGGCGAACTGTGTGTTTCGCAAAAGAAAGAACATAATCAAGAACATAATGTCTGGACGTTCTTGTGTGACTGTGAAACCGACTCGTGATAAGAGTCAAACACAACCTTCAACCCAACCTGAGCAGCCTGCTAAGTCATGACATCGCACTCTTGCCAATCCTTCCCAAAATACAACTCCACCTGCATCTCCTCATATTGAGAAGTTTGTTAACCCCCCCAAAAAAGATTTAAGAGTTCTGGAGACATTTTAGTGTTGTACAAAATTGCTATGCCTCCTTACCATAAAGTTGCTTTTTGTGCTGCAATTCATGCAAATCCCTATTGGTCCACCATTGCAGCTCCTGCTCCTTCTGTCACTGTATCTTCAAAGCCCCCTGCCCAGCCCTCAGGGACACTCACAGCCTGCACAGCAGCTTAGAAACACTCCACGCATTTCCGTCACACTGACAGTGTCCCGGACAGCTGCTGTATTCATTCTTACACTCCAGCACAAGAACACAGAAGCTGTGAACAAGTCTGGACCATTGGCAGTGCACACAGTTTTACACTCTGCTGTAGAAACTGTTTATAGACCAGTTGGTTTAAGCTTTATTACGTGTTTGGTTTTGGTAACTATAATTGGGACTGCACTACAGGATCATCTGTCAGGCGACACACGAACCTCCAACAGACTGGTCAGTAATGGTTAGAAACAGACCGTATGATATGGTACATGGTAGATGTGCATCACATTTCATTCGATTTTTATTCTTAGACATTTTCAAACTGCATTTTGCTGAGGGGTGGTGGTTTGAGATGTGGGAAATACATGTTGAATGTGGGGTATTATTTAAAGGGTGACAATAGCAGGCTGCTCCACAACCCTCCTCGGTCTCTAGGCATCACAGTGTGAAGGCTGGCTTCCACTCTGATTGTGGGCTGGTCTCAGAGCTACACAAAAGCCTGCAGGCAGGATGTGACTGTTTTCTTTCTGAGCCGGGGGGAGGGGGGCTGGGAGGACTCAGTGAGAGCAGGAAACATCTGGAGCTGGAAGCAGAGGTGTCCACATCGGGGTCCTCCGACGAAGCCCCCTCACCCCAGCCCCTCACAGCCCGCCTGCAGGGTGAAGACACTCGCATCTTCTGGAGTTTGCAAACGTTTTTCCTTCAAAAGGATTTTGTGTAATACATATTCTAACCATTCCTTAATTTTATGCAGCACTTTTCATCCCACAGGATCACAGTATACAGTAGGTACAGTATAGGTCAGGACACAGGGGGTAATGCTGCTGTTTGCTGTCTGCTGTGAGCTCTGTATTTGTAACGTCACCGTGTAAATGTGCTGCAGGGAATCCAGGTCATCTAGTTTAGACATAGACCAGAGGGACCCAGTTTCAGGGCTCAAGAGTTGAGGTCCAGTTATTTTTATGTGTCTTTTAATAGGCTTGCAAGCTTAAGACCTGGGAGGATTGCTGGCCTTTTAAGCAAGGCGATTAAACAACACACTGAGAGCGCGGTTCTCGATGACAGCCAGCCCTTGGGCACTGGAAGGAGGGGGCGTGGCCTACCTGTCTGCATCTCCGCCCACAGCTCCCCCGTCCCGCTCTCCACCACGAAGGTGCGGCTGTGTCTGGCCCTGCGGAGCTGCTCACGTGCTGAGGAGACACAAGGGGGCGCCATTACTGCACGCTCACACCGCACACACCTCCTCAATCCTCCCAGTTGAAACGCTCTCCCCGAGCCTCCAGAGCTGTGATAGTAACAGCACACCTCTACAGCCTGTACATCACACACCTGGAATAACAGCTTCTCCTGAGAGATTTCAGGGGAGGTGGAAGGCAGGGTTAGACCAAAGGAGTTAAGGTTTCTTTAATGTTCTAATCAGGACTGCAAGATCAATTGAGATGTCTTGGTGGGGAGCTGTGCCGCTGTGCCGCTGTGCACGGTCTGCAAAGGAACACGTCAAGACCATCAAGGTAGAAAGAAGATCGAGAAACTGAGTTTTTCTGAAGAAAGCATAACAGCAAAAGTGTTGTGTTACTTTTAACCAGGAACTAACCTTTACTTGCTCCATTGTTAAATCATGACTGTTTGTTCATGAAATCATAACTATCTTATAGTAGTAACTGGAAGTATTGCTTTAAATTAGAAGCTGGGTTACTGAGTGTAAAAGCCTTGGAGTTTCCATTTGATCTCATAACAAGTCCTGTGGTGAAATTACCAGACACAATTCCACCGTTTTACACCAGAGCACAAGTGCGACCTTTAGCCAAAGAAAACAGTCCTTGGAACATGCCACTCTGACTGTCAGATGATATAATTCGAATTCCATTCCCAAAGTGTTTATAAATGTAGACATGTTGACCAAATTAAAAGAGTGATAACAACCAAGTAATGGACATTCCAGTCCCATATATCTAAGACAATAAGGCCTTACAGAAAACATATATGTATTCGGCGGGGCATCTGGAAGTAATTTACGTTACTAATTCGTTTTTTAAAAGAGAAGGTTGTTACAGAGAAATCACTGCAGTTCACATGCTTGACTGACAAGAGCCCAGAGGTCATTCGCGCACATGTGGGCACATTGATGAGAAAGGTTAAGGTGCTCTAAATTTAGCAACAACTCCAGCTACACTGGAATAATAATAACAAGGACCTGCTGTTAACAAAGACAGTGACCTTGACAGTCAGAAAACCTCAACAAAGAAAGTTTTTAGCAATTGGGGATTGATTTAAAATATGAGATACAGTAGGACTTTGCTGGTGATCTTGAGAAAGGCACAGCCTTACACTGAACCTAACAAACATTCTCAGGGCCGCGTAGAGAGAGAACATAAGACAGGTACAAATGAGAGGCCCATCTAGCCTGTTTGGTAGTTAGTAACTAATTGATCTTAGGATCTCATCCAACCTAGCCCTAAGGAAGGCAGGCTATCATCTTTGACTATAAGACTTGGTAGCTTATTTCATGCTCCTGAAACCCTTCATGTGAAAAAGTGTTTTACTGTTCATCCTGAATAAATCCTCTTGGATGACATAGTTAGTGTCTTTGAGAATTTCTAATACTTGGATCAGATAATCTCTGATCAAGACTAAAAACCTGTCTGTGAATAAAAAGCTGAGTGTCACATACTAAGACTTTCTTCAGGAGACAGATTTTTGAAGAGATGATGTTTAGTATGCCCCATGAAAAGATTGTAATAAGATATAGCAATACATCCCACAGATATGGAAGACATTGAAAACGCACTCGGTCCATTGTGTCTTTGTGAGATCGGCTATAATCCCCACACAAATGCAAATACAGAGTACTAACACAAATGTGGAAAAACGCTGGCCGTGACTTTGTCCTTTGAAAGATATTTGGAGACTCATTTGCATATTTGTAAATCTTCTGAAAATGATTTGCAAAATGTTGTCAAAGTCCACTAGTGAAGTGGTACTAGAGCCCTTTGGAAACCAAGACCGACTATGATGCCATCAGTCTGGGTTCTTGTGGTGGTGGAGCCGAGTTTAACTGTGACCCTCTCAAAGGGGCAGTGCCATCCTCTGCTCTCCTCTGCTATTTCAGTGGTTGCCCAGATCCACACAGCTCCGTCTCACCACTCCAGCACAGACCACCACTGTATCCAGGAAAACCAGCCTGAAAATAGATGGAATTTCCTGCTCAAATATTTATTTTTGTATAATTTTCCATGGTCTGTGCAGTTGTGGTTGAGAATCCTTATTGTAAGCTAAACAGGCTCTGAACAGAGTGTGGGGGTCCATTGCAAGGGTATTGTGGGATATAAATTAGTGTTGCACACAGCTCTTTCACACAAATGCATGAAGCATTCCATATCTGTAACATCTGTAGGTGTTGAGTTAATTATATACTCTTTGGCAACACTGTAAGTCATCGGTCATGCCAATAAAGCTTGTGAAATTGAATCGAATATGCTTATTCTTGGGGCTGAGGGAAGTCATTTAAAATGTGCAACATCAGTGCACTTCTGTGGTTCTGTTTGTCAGACTCTAGGTGCTTCTTTCGGGAGAGAATGTGTTAAACGCTCAGCATATGAAATAATTACACAACTGCAAAGAAATTCAATTTCACATTTAAGTGTGGGATGAAACAATGAGAAACCAGGGATCAAATAAACCATTATAACTGAAAATAGAAGCAATCCATCTTCTGGGGACACCCACTCGACTGCCTGCTCTAGATGTTTAACATCAGTGATGAACTAGCCAAGCCGGTTCTAAAACACAGAACATATGGGACCTGTTAGCTTTACGACAGTTTTAATTTCCTTGTGAGAACAATCCGACCCCAGTCTGCACACCCCCTTCAGCTTGCTTGAAGAAACCACTCTCCCTAATTGTGATGAAAGTATTTTTCAGTTACTTTCCAACTAGAACAGAAAGGTTTAGATTTTCTTTTCTCTTGAGAGTTTAGCATTTCACTGAATTTAATAAAACTAGGAGACGAATGCATCTGATTGAAATGTTTGTGTTGTCCGCTCTCATACATCAGGGCAATGGAGAAATCATAATGAAATCCTTTAAATGCTCACATTTTCTTACAGGAGTCACAGCTACAACTTTATCAGCTGGTGGAAAAGAATTTGTAAATTGTTCAGTATTCAGACGCGTTGTACTGGCCACAGGTTGAGAGAGCTGAGGAGAAACACCTCAGGGCAAGAGACATTTGTCTGGTTGCACTGAAATACTTATTTTATGTTTGTAACACTTTTCACCCCCTGGAGGGAACCCACATCATCCTCACTCGACCCGGCTGGGTGAAGCACAGTGGCCGTCTGCTCCAGCAGTGCTGCAGCACTCATTCCTGTGCAGCTGATACAGTATAAGAGATGCGCAGTAAAATGACTTCACAGCCACAGCTGAGCATCTCTGAGGAGACCTGATGACACCAAAAACCCCCTGGAGAACTCTGCTCCAGCAGCACCCACCTGGACTAAAGCCCTGTGTCACTGTGGCAGCTGTGGACAATGTGCTTGGCAGCGAGCTCTCGGGGGTCACGATGATGCGTTGTGACATCAGAGGAGTGCTTACACCGCGCTGCGGCCCCTGTCACCCCAGCTCATGGGAAGAGCTCTGCGCTCTTGGGTGTCTTTGAATCACTTGATATTTCTGCCCCGGGGTGACCTGCCAGGCCGCGCAGTAGCAGACGCTGAAAACTCGCGGGAGCTACTTTTCTTCCGCAGTCAATAAAGTAAACAATTAAATTAGCCAAGTGATTTAAGCCAGAGTTGGAATGAATGTTTTAAACATGGACGAGCCACTGCCTCTGCCTTGATTTCCTCCTGAAGTCATGTTAAACACTAGGTGGATCGCGCCTCAGAACAGGGGTGCTGGCTCTGCTCTGGAAACAGTGGATCTCCTGAGTCCTCTAGTACGTTAGGGTGTGAGTCTGTGTGGTAAAAAGCCTGTTGTTTAATGGGTGTATATGCAGAGTGGAGCTGCTCGCAGGACTGTGTTCACAGTCTTACCCTGTCTGAAGCTGGAATCAAATAGGCGAGACCCATCGGGCTCCAAGCCGTTGGCCATTGGTCGGCTGCTCAGGTCAATGACCTGATGGAGACGGAGCTTCCTGCAGTATATAGAGGCGGCCTCGGGTTCGAGCGCAATGAGGAGCTGCTCTGGGGCCTCTGGGGAGACCAGGCCAGCCTGTGAAGACAAGCACCAGGTCACACACCACACCCATGTGCAAACACACACAGGGACCTCCTATGTCAAGCACAAAAGTGCCAGATCTCAGATCTGGAAAGGACTCCTGAACCTTGCTGTGGAAACCTAAGAAAGTAAGAGAGGTTACAAACGAGAGGAGGCTATCCGGTAGCAAGCAGTTCATTGATCCCAGGATCTCATCCTGCTGTTTCATGAAGGAATCCAAGGTGTCAGCTTTAACAACGTGGCTGGGAAGCTTGTCCCACACTCTCACCACCCTCGGTTTAACCGAACTTCCACAGTTCTCCTCACTTCTTTCAAGATCGATTGGTTAAAAGCCACAGTAAAACACAGGGGGCATCAGCAGTCTGACCTCCTCAAGAGGAAAGCAGACTGGTGGCGAATGTGCTCCGGTCAGTTTCCTCCCACTGGTGGACACAGGGGCGGCTCAGGCACTGGAAATGGCCTGAAGTGATCTCCACCTGGCCATGACGGGCCCCTCTGCTCAGCTGCTCAGCACAGAGCCCTGGGTGTGGTGAAGCAAACTTCATCCCACTTAACACTTTGGAAAAAAGACAAAACAGGGAAGGGCCTAAGGAGCACTGCCTTACTAAAACAAACAGCCTGGGCTTAGAGGTACCACAGCAGTCACAGAACACCTTGAGTAGGATCTGCTTCCAGCGGCTTGACTTGGTGCACTATGCAGGGCCTGATGTAGACTGTCCTGCAGATGGCCAAAACATATACAAGGAACTGTGGGAAACTGTCCAGTTCCATTTTTTAAATAATATTCGCCCTAATAGAGGAAGTTTGTAACATTTCTTTTTTAAAGAAAATGAATGGAGCAGAAAGGAAGAGAGCTGCCGGAGTGCAGCGGGGTGGAGCCCAGTGTGAGCAGGGCGCTGCAGGGCGGGGGCCGTGTTTTCCTCTCCTGCAGTCTGGCAGGAGCGGTTTCCTCTGTTTGTGTGCCGATCTCGCTACGCACCCTCACATTGTTCAGCGCCTTGACACCAGCCGGGAGGAAATCCCGCCCAGAGGCACGGTCGCCGGACGGCCCGTCCATCTTCCTGCCTGGCAGGCCTGGTCTGGGCTAGCGTGGAGGAGGGAGGGACAGGCTTGTGGAGTGCAACCTGGCACAAAGCAAGCTCTGCACTGTGCGCTGGTCCCAGACACACGCTTCAGCGACGCCAGAAGAGCCAGCCACGGGCTTCAGACCACATTCAGACACAGTCACGGCCTGTAGAAATTTCCCATACTGCTTTTTGCCAAATCCGCTCATCCAGCAGCGTTCCCACACTTCTGTGCTGCCCCCCTCCAGGACTCTACAGCCACACAGCAGGCGTATTGTTACAGCACCTCCTCGGCTGCTGGAGCCGCCCAGCCAGCAGGAAGGCATCATTCAGGGCATCGCAGGGACGCCAAAGGGGCTGGAAAGCTCAGGAAAAGAGGGCAGAACCGTGCGTCTTCAGAATAACACTTATACAGTAGCTTCAGTCTGGCTTTGGACATGTGAGGCGCACCTGTATTCAAGACTCAAAGGGAAACTTATGATTTAAACAAGCACTGTAGCCAGTGAAAAGACAGGTCACGGAATGAGATGTTCACCAAGAGACCACTAGCACAATTGTTTATTATTATAGTGTATTATTATTGTGTGTCAGATATCAGGTGTGGTGGGGGAGCATTCAGCACCTTTTGCTTAAAAGATCTGAACTGAACCTTTTCAGGTTTTCTAAGTCTGTGCAATTTCTCCAGGTCTCTAAGCAAAAATGAAACTGAGGAATTATGCTTTTATGAGTTCAAATTGCTCTTCGTTATTAAAGAAGATTGATATTTTAATATGTAAATTTAATAAACAAACTTTTTAGCTTGTTTGAGCATTTGGGTCATTAACTTGTGAAGTACTTGCAATCTGAGACTCCCTTCACAAAAACTACGCAAAATCGGGCAGGTTTTATAAGGGATAATTCATCCTGCTGCTTTAATTTTGTGGCTCTTACTTACAAGGTAACAGAAGATCAGACAAATACCACAAAATAGCTCAGTAAAAATAATTTCCACACCCCAGTTCTCTCAACACGTACAGTAGGTGGTTGCAGGAGGGGAACCAAGCTTTCCAGCTACAAACCTTCCAGTACATCCCTCTGCATGGTATTGGCTCGGACAGATCTTAAAATATTTACTTAGGTGCAGCAGCTAAAATGCTGCATCACAAGGAGCTAGGGGCAGAAAACACCTGTGCTAGAATAAACTGTAAAGGGCTCTCCTCTTACCAGGTAGGCTGCCTCTCTCATGAACTGCTTGGCAGGTTGTCTCCATACAGCCGGCACTGTGATGACCCACCTCACGTCTCCTCCCTCCAGCACTGCCGAGGACTGGTCCTTCACCTCCTGATTCACACAGCACACATGTCAGGGGGACAGGAATAACACCCACGGTTCTGGGCACGCTGAACGGTTTCAAACAGGGGCGAAGGGGTTGCTGCAATATCACTTCTGAATGAGGAGCTGGTTTCAGCACTGCTTTGCTTCTGCATCGTTTTGCAAAAGCAGCAGACAGATCACCAAATGCAGATGAGGATTCTGGAAGGGTCATGGGAAGCAATTCGCAAAGCCAAAGGGCTGAAGACCATTTCTCATTTCTTCAGTAAGCCTGCAAACCGGGAAACTCAGTGAGACAGCTGCAGCCCTGGCTGGAGAACATTGAGTGGAGGAGGGGAATGGGGAACATCCAAGCACCATGTAGGACGCCAGCAGGGAAGAGGGGGACTGCGGTGCTGGAACTAGCAAGACAAAAACTGTGAGCGAAGAGCCCAGTGCCAAAGCTGAGCCGCAAATTCTGTCCCACACAGGGGGTCCTCCCCTGTACTCTTGTACTGGTGGTTAAGCTGTCTCCTGAGGGACAGCGAGTAGACACAGGGGAAGGGTAGGACACCAGACATACAGCTGGGTAGGACGCCCAGCAGTGAAGAAGGGGGATGGATAACAGACTGGGAAAGGGAACAAGTGGGCGAGAGAGAGTGAAGGAGAGACAGACAGGATGGGTAGAGAGGCGACAGCCCGGTGGCTTTGCCATACAGGTTATTTCCAAAGCATGTGAAGGCCACACTTAACAGAAGTATATTCAAATATCCTCCTTAATCAGCACAATTTGCACAGGTACTTGAAGCTTGAACTTGAACTTGAACTTTATTGCCATATGTAACCGGTACTGGTACAATGGAATTCTTACTCACAGAAAGTCTCTCGATTGTAAAACAAGTGTAAAAAACAAGACAAAGTGCAAACAGTGCATCAAGACAATGTACAAACAAACAATAGACAATGTGCAAGTAAACATGTAGACAGTTTGAATGTAAACAATACAGACGTGTAAACAATGACTGGAGACGTACAATAAATAAATTACAATGAGGTAGATGGTGATGGTGTGGGTGTGGTCCGAGGGGGTTGGCTAAATGTGTTCGCCAGTCTCACTGCTTGTGGATAGAAGCTATTGAAGAATCTAGTGGTCAGTGTCCGTATGCTCTTATATCTCTTGCCTGAGGGCAGTGGGGTGAAGACCTCATGCCCGGGGTGGTGACTGTCCTCTGTGATGGCCAGAATTCTACCACGGCAGCGGTCCTCACAGAGCTGTTTAATCACGGTGAGACCGCAGCCGATGATCTTCTGGGCCATATTGACCATTCTCTGCAGTGCCTTTCTTTCTCGCGAAGAGGTGTTGCCATACCACACGGTGATCCCGTTGGTGAGGACGCTCTCGATAGTGCAGCGGTAGAAGTTCACCAACACATGTATTGGCATCCCCCATCGCTTGAGGCACCTCAAGAAATAAAGGCGCTGCTGAGCCTTCTTCATGATAGAGTCAGTGTTCACAGTCCAGGTTAGATCTTTAGAGATGTGAATTCCCAAAAACCTAAAGCTGGTGACTGTTTCCACTTCCGTTCCATCAATACTGAGTGGGCTGTGAGTGTGTGGCCTGTGTCTCCGAAAGTCCACTATTAGCTCTTTCGTTTTCCTTATGTTCAAGTCCAGGTTATTGCTATGACACCACCTAAGCAGCTGTACAACTTCAGCTCATTAAAAGGGACATGAATCTGTCTCTTGTGTAATCAGCCAATGTACCTCGCTGCCTGATTCTGACTACTATCTGGGCAGACACCCGGCTCTGATCACTGTGCTCTCTGCTCTCAGTAAACAGCTGATGCCAATATGGGTTTGAGTTAGGTGACTCGGTACAGGTTATTGAGTTTATTATAATTAAGAGATGATGAACAGAAATTTGAAAAACAGAGAAGCAGACACACTTTTGCACAATGAAAATGCTAACACAGATGTTTTACATCGATACCTCTTTGAGCACTGACATAATGTAATAAATCATCCATAAATTGTTTGAGTGGTATTGTTCCTTAGGATAAGTGAATACTGGGGTCAAGTCATAAAAATGTCAAGTGCTCAAGGTTATTTGAATTGAAGTAGAACTGTTTCTATTCAAGTCTTACTCATCCACTTCACTTCAACACAGACATGTGACGTATTCAGTAAGAAAAATGCTTTCACGTGACGCTTTCACCCACAGGGAAAATTAAGAGGTAGAAGATGTTTTTGCACAAAGTGTCGTCAGAAGGAGCCTCACATGTCTGGAAAGTGAGCTTGCTGCACAAACTGTTTCTCTAATAGTAATCTCTGTTTTCATTGGCCATTGGCCGCAACTAGGTCTGATTTGTAAATGTGCTGAAAAATCACCGGTGCGCACGTGAATTCACCTTGAGTGCATGTTCCCTGAAGAATCGCAGTGCGTGGGCAAACACCTCAATGGCTCTCATCTTCCGTCCGTTCACTGCCTCCAGCTCTGTCTCCAGAGTCAGGTCCTGCACAGAGCACACCGTCAGCCTGTAGCTACTCCTATCCCTGTACACACCGTCAGCCTGTAGCTACTCCTATCCCTGTACACACTGTCAGATTGTAGGCACTCCTGTCCCTGTACACACTGTCAG